GTTCCCTTGTCAGTTATGATATAGCACGTCTATTTCATACGATATCATTGTCACAGTAATTAACTGAATTTATCCATATATATTATTTTAAATTATATCTTTTTTCATTATAATTATATTTGGTTTATAATTCTGTTAAAGTTTTTTCCAAAACATAGCGTTACGTGCGAATTAGCAGATCGAATGTAGTTAGAAATTAATTGATTTACACAAATCCAATTGATATTTTGGAATGGGATGTATGACATTATTTAAATATGTAAACGTTTTGTTTAAGTTCTAATCAATTTGAAACAAGTTAATAAGTAAGTTACATTGACAAAATCAAAACTTCTGAATTAAAAAGCTATCCGTGTTCAAAAAACAAGTTTTTTAATTAAAGTCGTATAACTTTACCATCGTTTAATCGAAATCACCAAACTGCAAAAACTTGAAGACACTGTCTATATTTTAAATTTCAATAAACAGCATCCAAAAATATAAAAACACTTTTTTTGTTATTAAGCTTTAAAGATTAACCGTTTTTTGATTAATTCTTATCTGAAATTCAATTATATATTCTAACAAATAATTTTTACACACGCAGTGGTTCTACTGAGCATTGTCACACCAAAATGATAAAAATCTAACGTGAATTTTTTTAAACTGAGACCAAAACCGCAAATTCATCCCAGAAGCCTATGCTTGCTTACTGCTCACCCAGGCAAATATATATAACAACAGCACACAAAAGTAGATTGATTTTCTTTTGTTTGATCTAAAAACGATAGTCCCGATAACGCGATACACAAATAACTTTTTTCCTTTATAAATAAAGGAATACGTAGTGTGTCTAGAGAATAAAGAGACTATGATCGCCTGTACAAAATAACCGCACGTGAGCCAGAGTGAGTGGATGGATAAACGACTTTGAGCAAGTAAGAATAAGCACAGCACGTCTCCACTTGCTACCGCTATTAGATTATTGTAAATGCTTGCAGCAAGTGGACGTGTTGTTAGCGCATGTCGGCAAAATGACAAGCTTGAAAATGAAACAGCGTATCAACCATAAAATCTTTGGTGAAATTGAAAAAATCTCCAATTATTTTTATAACCTGCTACGTGAAACGTACAAAGACACATATCTTTCTTGTGCACGTGTGTTAGAATGACACAAGAGATTTTCTGAAAGCCGAGTTAATACGAAAGAGGATAAACAATCTAGACGGCCCAGCACATCAAAAACCGAGGAAAATGTGCGAAAAGTGAAAGAAATTGTAAACCAATACTACTACAAAAAAGTTCTGGAGTCTATGTAAGAAATAATCAGAAGAAAGCGATGAAACTTCTGAAAAAAATGGCTACATCGTCCATCAAGACAACACACCAGTTCATTCCACTCTGTGAGTGAAGCAGTTATTGGCCAAGGAGGGAGACACACTACTTGAATAACCACTGCATTTTCCTGACCTAGCTCCATGTGATTTTTATCTTTTCCCTAAAATCAAGTCTGGCTCTGAAGGGACAATCGTCGTTTATTCGATTTGGTTTCTATTGTGACGAAATAAACGACGAAGCCGCTGCATAGAAGCTTAGAAATGATGCCCTGATGCACTGATATAATCATTGGAAGTCGCGAACGCATCGCTGTTTACAAGCAGAAGGTTTATACATTGAAAGAGAACACAACTAATGTGAGTATACTACTCAAGATTTAAAGTTCCAGCTCAATCTCGTCGTTCTCTAGCCTCAACCCGTATATATATATAAAAAAAATATATTTATACAAAACTTTTAAAATTATACAGCCGTAATAGTTAAACGCTTTCAATAAAGTTTTAATGAGGATTTAAAACATCTTTGCTTCTGTTGTATCAATGAACTAGTTTGTTCCTGTGGCATCACAAAAATGCCATCACTATTCTTAAAATGGTAAAATATAAACATTCCATGAATAACTACGAGTATATTTTGAATTTTTCCATTTTTGTCAAAAATCTAACAATATGCTTGGAAGAAATGAGTTTTTATCTTCAATTTTTTGTATTTTGATACCTAAATGCAAAAGAATAAACATATCGAATTTTAACTCTATAATTTTACTCAAGTTACATCTATTAACATCAGGTTTGTGTTAAAATTTTCAGGTACAGTACATTTTATCTTTAAAGATCAGAGGAAAAAGCTGTGTTAATTTAATCCAATGAAAGTATTAGACTAGTAATATGGAAAGTATAGATTCTCTATTGTGTAGGTCAATAGTCTGCTAATTGTTTTATTTCCATTTTTACAAAACTCCCTTCTCCCTTAGGATTAAGTCAAATACAAATGTGACTGTATGTGGAAATGACTGTATTATACTGTGTTTTAAAATTTTACAATATTTGTTGCAAAAAGTTAAAACTAGAATTTTATTTTTTAACTTTTTATGAAAAGTTTTGCTTTCAGAATAATCAATTGTTTTATTTATTGAAAAATTTCATTTAAATGAGGTTTTAAAAGAAAAGATATCTTGCTATAATGGAGATTTGAAAATAGGAAATAAACCTTAAGAGTAAACCTGATAAATTTTATCATTTGTAACTGCTGAATTTATATAATATGAGGATTATTCCTAATACAGATTTACATTTTATACTAAACGATTCCAGGAAAAATATATATCAGACAGGTTTATAAAGATGGAGAATAATAAGGATAAAAAATTCAAAACACTCATTTAATTAAATTGCTTTTTGCCATTCGATCTTTAAGAAAAAAAATCACTGCGATTGTCATAAATAATTTGTATAGTCATATTAGTACAACTATGGCAATATTCGTACATTCAGTATAAGAAATTTTTTTAACACCACTAATAAATGTATTATTTATTTTCAGTTGGATTTTTCCGATAATAATCAAAGGATCAAAGCGATTGTTAAAAGAAGAAGATCTATATGAGACTTCAAAATATCACACTTCAGAGTATCTAGGGGATTTACTTCAGAAGTAAGTTAATCGATTTGTATTAAAAAATCTGATTAAGTTGAATATTTTTCTATGTTATACAATAACAAATAACTGGAATATTATTCTGTTACATTACACGTAGTCTTTCAAATATGAAAAAACTTTTTATATAAAAATTTAATATGAGATCTGGAACTTTTATAACCGAAAAAATTTAATTATTTCCACTTTTGTTATATAAAGGATTGACAAAAAATACAATCTTAGCTAAGAACATTTGAATCCCTCTCCCATAACTATCAACATTCTATTGTTTTCACACAGCCTGCAGCTCAATTGCACAAAATTTTATAGTTAGCATTAAAATTTCGTCTCTTGATTTGGTCTCGGGAACACCTATAATTTTTATCTTCTATAACAACCGATCACGTGACCGATTTTCCCAGCAAAAAACTAGAAAAAATGCTTCTTTCCCCTCTCAGAGGAGTCACATAACTAAAGCCAGACCAACGTCATCGCCGACCGTAAGAAGAAAATCACTGAACCCGCCATAGCTCCGAACCTACGAACATCGAAATCGTCCATCCCCACAGTCGCGAACTTTTATACTTGTGCTAAAAATGGGTTACCCTAAAAACATTATTTATTGAATATCTATGTGCCTTAGTGGACTTAAATCTCCGTGTAAACCTACAAAGATGTATGGAAACCCATGTAAACTCTCTCTCGAGCCCTTAGTCGATTAATCGAAGAAATTAGTGTTTGTAATTCATGTCGATCTTGTCTAATTTGAATAAACTTGTTTTATTTGTTAAATGGTATCCTCCTTTACTCGTATACTGCCTTCGCCTTATCGTCGACCCCGAATACTCTCCCTCTACTCGACCGACATATGAGAGTTCCAAACCTTGGAGCCAGTAATCGTAATTTAGCCACCTTGACAAGTGAGCAGGTTTAACGACCTGTTGCCGGAAATGGAGGTGAGACGGCCTACGATTTCCCCAGTGGTTCACACTAATACAAGTACAGTACATGACCTGAGTTATTTACATTTAATACATATAAAAAAATATATATACCACTTTACAAAGATAAAACTTAAAAGTGGACGCTTTACTTGTTTTACATTCTTTTGCTGAAGCAATAGCCTCAGAAGAAAGGTCGTCTCTGAAGTTTTGTGAATTATT